TAAGTACGACTACTACTACTCTTTCTTACTACCTCCTCTCTCTCTCTCTCTCTCTCTCTCTCTCTCTCATGGAGAACCCCCGGCCCATCCCAGCCCCTCAGCGCCTGCATCCTCTAGCAGGCCGTGTGGCCATCGTCACTGGCGGCTCCGGCGGCATCGGGGCCGCCGTGGCACAGCACCTTGCCACCCTCGGCGCTCAAGTCGCGATCACCTACTCCTCCTCCCCTGGCAAAGCCGACGCCCTTGTCCAATCCATTAACTCCGATTCAGAGACCTCTTCCTCTCCACCAACAACCGCTCAGCCTCGAGCCACCGCCATCAAATGCGACATCACAGACCCAGTTCAAGTCCAGTCCCTCTTCGACCAGGCCTCCCAAATCCTTGGCCCCGACATTCACATCCTTGTGAATTCCGCCGGCATCCTTGACCCCAACTACCCGACCATCGCAACGACCCCTCTTGAAGACTGGGACCGCACATTCTCGACCAACACACGAGGAGCATTTCTTTGCGCTCGAGAGGCGGCGAGGAGATTAGTGAAAGGAGGAGGTGGTCGCATAATTATGTTTACGAGCTCGGCAATTGGGGTATTAAGAGTGGGTTTTGGGGCTTATGCAGCGTCAAAGTCTGCAGTGGAGACGATGACAAAGACATTGGCGAAGGAGCTGCGGGGGACAAGAATTACGGCAAACTGTGTAGCGCCAGGACCGGTGGCGACTGAAATGTTTTTTGCGGGGAAGAACGAGGATCTGGTGAAAAAGATTACAATGGAGAATCCATTGGAGCGATTGGGGGAGATTGGGGACGTGGCACCAGTGATTGGGTTCTTGGCTAGTGATGAGGGAGAGTGGATCAATGGTCAGGTGATCAGGGTCAATGGGGGGCTGGTTTGATATGAGAGAGAGAGAATAGAAGTGATCTTGATTTGATGCTTCTATCTCCTTTTTCTGAGTCAACCGTGTGCCTTATGTTTCATGAAAGATGAAATGATTAAGTATAGTGCTTTCATATTCAGAACACATCTACTTTATAGTCTCTATTACTTTTTTTTTATAATGATTTATGGTTTCTACTTCTTGCTTGAAAGATTTAATAGCTGTTTCTTTCTCTCTCTTTTATTTTTCTCTGTATTTTGATACGATTCATTATCAGTTCTCTCTTGTTTATTAGGTCATGCTGCTTCCTTTGCTCTCTCTTTGCACCTTTGAATAGGTCTGATTATAAAAAACACAGCTTAGGTGTTGTCTCTTTTTTTCCCTTGCTTTATCCATTCTTCTCTCTCTCTCTCTCTCTGTACGCATTGTGTGTGTTGTATGTGTGTGCAATCGTACATAGAAATGTATGAATATTGAAGAAAGAATATACAAATATTTGATAATGAATATACAAATACATGATACAAAGCTCACTTTCCTTGGTTCAGTAACCAGGATAAAGAGTGAAAAGAATTCCATCCCCCAAGAAAGAACTGATCTACAGTATTTCTGGTGCTTACCAGGTCCAGAGATCACCAGTAATCCCCACACGAGCAAACCCCTCCCTCAAAGTGATGAAACCGATTTGCATCTCTCACTATAACAGCTCGCCCACTAACACGTGAAACAAATTTCATCCAATTATGGCAGTCATTGCACACGCGAAGGTTCTTAATCACTCTAACAGGGACCAGAGGAGCCAAACCCATGAGCCCAAAACTAACAGCCAGCTTCTCACTATGCACAAGTGTATCTGGGTCCTTGCTTTCTCTTTCTACATCTTGTAAGAGACTGTTTTTTTCAGGAATGTATCCAATTTCCTCAACCAAGCTGTTCAAATCCTTTAATTTTTCGTATATCTCATCTGCCTGCGGATGCAACCGATCCCCGACAAAGAATGAGCTCACTGAATGAGCAACCTCTATCCAACTTTGCCCTGGCTCCTTTCTCACTCCTTTCTCTCTCATCAGAAGCCTAATCTTATCTCTCTCATCCCATCTACCCCTCTTTGCATATGCGTTCGATAGCAAGACATAAGCTGCGGAATCATGTGAGTCCAATTCCAGAAGACTCTTAGCTGCAGCCTCACCAAGCTCCAAGTTCTTATGCACTGTGCAGGCACTAAGAAAGGTCTTCCAAACCATAGCATCAGGTTCAATAGGCATGTTATCTATGAACCTTTTTGCCTCCAATAAGAGACCAGCTCGGCCTAAAAGGTCTACCACACATGCATAGTGTTCAGGACGAGGAGAAATGTTATGATCTTTGGCCATGGATTCAAAGTAGCTCAGACCTTCTCGCACTAGGCCCACATGGCTACAAGCTGAGAGAACACTCACAAATGTAACATGGGTGGGTTTTAAGCCTTGTTTCTTCATCTCTCTAAAGAGCTTTAAAGCATCTCTCCCGAACCCATGTTGAGATAAACCTGTGATTATAGCATTCCATGAGACTTCATTCTTTTGAGGCGTCTCCCAAAATACTCTCCTCGCTTCTTCGATACTCCCGCACTTTGCATAGAGAGTAACGAGCACATTTTGGGTCTCAGTTTCACTCTCATAACCTGTTTTAATAATCTCTGTGTGGATCTGTTTACCCTGCTTAAGGTCAGTCATGTTTGCACAAACACTAACAGAAGAACAATAAGTGAAAAGGTTGGGTTTGAACCCTGACCTTCTCATCTGCCCAAAAACTTTCATCGCTTCCTCAAACTGCCCAAACTGCCCAAACCCTGAGATTAAGGCATTCCAAGATATCTCATCCCTGTTTCCAATGCATCCAAATGCTTTATATGCTTCTTCTATAAGACCCATTTTAGCATACAAAGTAATGAGTGAATTTCCAATAGAAATATCGGAGAAATAACCGCAAACTATCGAACGAGCATGGATTTGTTGCCCTTGTTTAATGGCTTGAAGCCCTGCACAAGCGCTGAGAGCACTAGCAAACCCTATATTATCAGATTCGATCCCTTGGGCCTGCATTTCTTCAAAGAGCTCTAGAGCCATTAGATCACAGTCTTGCTGACCATATCCAGCGATCATGGCCGTCCATGAAACTAGATCAGGCTCCTCCAGCCTTTCAAGTATCATTCGAGCCTCTTTAAGCCTCCCACATTTAGCATACATATCTATAAGAACACTGCAGACATAGACATTAAGCTCAAAACCCATCTTTATAATATGAGTATGTATTTGTTCTCCAAGGTCAATAACTCCAAGAAGAGTACAGGTTCGAAGGATACTGGGATAAGTGTATTGGTTAGGGAATACCTCTCTAAGCTGCATATCCTGAAAAAGCTTGAGGGACTCTGTTAAGTTACCCAACTGGCCATAGGCCACGAGCATCACATTCCAAAGGACGATATTGCCCCTGTCAGTGGCCTCGAAATGCTGATGGGCATCTTTGATTTCACCGCATTTTACGTAAAAATCAAGCAGGGAACCTTCTACTATGATATCAGTTAAATGGCCAGATTTTATCACAAGACTGTGAAGCTTTTGGCCTTTCTGAAGCTCCCCAAGTGTGGCGCAGGCGCTCAGGAGGCTTGCTGAGGTTACACAGTCTGCTTTGAATCCCGAAAACTGCATTTCTTTGAAGTATTGAAGGGCTTTCTCACTATTCCCTGACTGAGCGTGCCCCGAAATGATTGAATTCCATGTAATACCTGTTGAGATACTCATTTTAAAGCTCAATATAAGAGATCACCTAGTAAACCATCCAATGCTTTCTTACCAAGTGGTTTAATCCTCTGATAGGCATCGAAAAACAACACTCATAAACAAAACATCTGAGATAATGTTATAATGAATAAGTATGTGTAATATTTTCAAAAAAATAACTATGTGTAAGTGTACATCATGGATTTGTCTGTATGTATGTAAACACATGCATGTGCGTGCATGTGTTGTTTGGATGTGCTTTCATATCTATTTATGTAGGAGCATGTATATTTCATTCCTGTACAGAAAATCTCAAGCAATTGCATTCAAAGGACTATAGTTGTTAAAATCACAAGAAACTCCAAATATGGGCAATAAATAGGAGTTAAGACTAACAGAATTTCCACTAAGGCTCCTTATAAATTAGAGGATGGGATAATATATACAGCATAAACCAATGGGCTATATAAGATAACCGTAGTCCATTGAGTCACCATCATCCATTGATATAACCGACGGTGATATAGAGAGAGTGAGATCCAACCGAACGGAAGAACCTGAATGGTGGGACCTACTGTATCAACAGTCCCAACAATCGTTTCATTAGATGTTGATTAACATATAATTCTAGAGCACTTGAAAAAAGAAATAAAAAAACGCAACAACATATGCTAACAAATCATACCATCTTTACAGTGCATTTCTCCGAACATCCTTTCGGCTGAGGCCACATTTCCACACCTTAAATATAAGCTCACGAGCGCATTGCCCACAAAGGTCTCTGAACAAAAGCCAAGCTTGAGGACATAGCCATGGAGCTGCTCACCTTGCTCAAAAAACTCAATCTTGGTGCAAGCACTTATAACACTGGAGAATATGTATGGAGTAGGAAAGACCCCTGAACCCAACATGTGAGAGAAGAGGAGGAGGGCTTCTTGGCTATGGCCATTCTGAGAATAACCAGAGATCATGGCCACCCATGAAACACTATCTCTCCAAAAAATCTCATCAAAGATCACACGAGCAGAATGAAAATCTCCAATCTTTGCGTATAGATCGATTAGAGGGTTCCCAACCATCGGATCAGCCTCAAAGCCCATTCTGATAGCCTTGGCATGAACTTGGGTGATAAAATTTAGAGATTTGGCACCATTACATGCTCTTAAAACACTCGAAAAGATCGACCCATTAGGCCTAATTGCCTCGGATATCATTCTAGAGAAGAGTTTAAGGGCCTGAGCATTGAGCTTATCTGTTACATAACCTGTAATTATACTGTTCCATGAGGTTACATCTCTATCAGTCATTCCATTGAACAATTTTCGTGCTTCGTTCTCTTCGCCTACGCTTTTATATACATGAATCAATTGGTTCTCAAGTGTCAATTCATGTTCAAAACCAGCTTTTATAATCCTTCCATGGAGTTTTCTAGCATTCCTCAAAGACCCATTTTTCAGAGAGCCCTCTAAAAGCCATAGGTAAGTTTTATGGTCAGCGCTTACGCCTCGCTCTTCCATTGTGTAAAGGAAGTGGAAACCATCTTTCTGGTTTCCCAATTTAAATACATTAGTTATGGAATTATTATAACCAAATTGTTTCCCTCTGAGTTCATCTTCAAAGAAATCGTCCACGGCATGGTTCAGAACAGAGTAGCTGAGACTGAGACAATTGAATTTCACTCTTCCACCATTCGAAGAACAATACTGCAATTTTGGAGAAGAGCATCAGATAGAAGAGTATACTTGAAGTTTAAAAATCAATTTAGTATCGAGAGAGAGAGAGAGAGAGAGAGAGAGAGAGTACGTACGTGTAGACGTCGTGGTAGGTAGTAGTAGAGTAGTAGACGACGAAGTACTGTCGTAGGTAAGGAAGGAAGGTAAGGTAAGGTAGTAGACGTACGT